TATTATTATTATTAAACCCTTATTCAGGGAACAACACAAACATATAAAATTTCAGCTCAATTTTAAAAGTTTTTCATTCCATTAAAGTCCTTTTTTTGATATGTTCATCAATTAGTTTATCAAGATCTTATTCTATTTTATTTTAGATATTCTCATTTAAGTTTTCTCCGATTGATGTGTAAAATTCTTCTTCGCTCTAGAAATTTAAATGTTCAAGTATTACATGTTTTGCTGTTAATCTTGAATTATTATGAGATTTGCAGAATGTCCAAGCCATTTTATACACATATTAGAGATTTTTTGGAATTAGATATATTTTTCTTATATCTTATATATCTCTCTACAATTAATTGGTTTTTTCATATAAATGAATCAAAGTTTATTATGATACATCTATAAACCTTTCTTACAGCTTCCTTATTGTTTTATTGATAGTTGATGATTATTTAATATTATACACACTTAGAATACTATCCATTAAGAAGTTATTTGTATTTTATGGTAATCTTAATAAATTTTTAAAAGCTCTCTTCCTCAACATTAGAAATCGTTTTCTGATCGATTTGTTTTAAAACTATTCAATTATTTAACAGTAGTTGAAGTATGGTTGAATATAAATTAAAAATAAAAGAAATCTTTAACGAAAATCCATCTTAAAAGAAACATATTTCAGTTTACTCATTTTAAATTGAACAATTTTTTCAATATCATCAATATGCTATTTTATTTAACCTTTATTGTCTATCTTTATTCCTAAGTACTTATAGTTATTGACAACCGGAAAATTATCATAGCTATCTTCTACCATTTTCCATTTTATAGGTAAGATTCCAGATTTCTTTTCATTCAAAATAAATGCCCATTCTTTTGCTTAAATTCTTAGTTAAAAAATGAATTATTATAATTTCGATTGTTTAACAATAAAGACTAAATCATCTGCATAACCAAGAAATTAGTAAGAAAATTTAATTGCAGATTTCAATTGTCTTAAAAAACCATCCATATAAATGTCAAAAAGTTACGGGGATATAGGAGAACCTTGAATAACTCCATTTTCATNTTTTATTCGTAGTTTTTCAACCTACTCTTTAGAGAGTTAATTCAACTATGGAATAGCCAACGGAAAATATTATATTTATTTTGACAAATTATCTAATTGAATGTAACAATTCTTAAACACATCTTCTCCTACAATAATATTATTCGTATCATCAAGATAACAATTATAAATTCCTCCTTCTCTCTTGTTTAAATTCAATAGAATAGTTTTTTTGATTAACCTAAAAAAGTCTCTTTTGTCTCCTTTAAAGGTGTTATTAAATTAATCCACAAGTTCTTGTTCATGCAATTTATATTAGAGTTTTCGAAGTTTAATTCTTCTTTTGTTAATTATGTGGTGCTTATTAATAGATTTTTGGTATTGTTTATAAAAAGAGGAAAAACTATCATTCTGATGATATAATTTCTGACATTCTTATTATGCTAATTTCTTATTTATTTCTAAAATTTCTTTTCTGCAATTATTTTCTTAACTTATTGTGAGTTAAATAATTAGTAGGACATGATCTGATAAGTTTGTCCATTTAGATTGGATAGAAAAAGGAATTGATTTATTTATTAGAATGTGATCTGTTTAAGATATACGTATTTTATCTAAAATCTTTCGTCTAAAAGTCATAGTATTTTCGTTCAATTATTTAAGTATTGAAATAGGATTTTTTTTAGAATTAAAGTCTCCACATACAATCAAAAGCTAATTTTATTTAATTTCTGAGAGTATTTTTAATATTATATTAGTAATAGCAACTTTATATCTATTGTATGTTACATTATTATTTAAGTACACATTGATTATAATTAAATCTAACAATTAATTTGTTGCTCTTATAATTAGTATGTCATAATCATGATGATTAATGTAATAATCTGTAATATCTTGAGAGTTAAATTCTTTATTAATACCTGTTATAATGCCTCCAGAGTGTTTTTATCCTACTTATTTATGATAGTATTTGTATTTAATAGAGTCATTTATTTTTGTATTTCTCACTTCCTATAAACATATAATATAAGGACTTGCTTGATCAATTATTTTAAAAGATTCTTATTTTAATGAGCTTACATTCCACGATAAAAATGTTAATTGTATTTCTGTGTTTGTGCTGTTCGTGGAGGGGTTT